CTGGGCCACCGTAGCACAGGCACGGCCAGACACTAGGAAATGAACGACCGTGGCTTGTAGTAAATCGTTATTTACCAAAACAGAGGTGGGCCAAAGCTTGTTCTGAGGAAAGACACATTCTCTACAGTTTTCAACAGCTCATGAAACCAACGTTCAAAGGGAAGACTGGCTTGTTAGCAGCCACGGTCCATGTGGACTGGGGCTTAAGCAACACTTTACTGGTACTGAAAGAGAGTCGATTTCTTTCTAATACCACTCCATCATGTGCAGCCCCCCCCCCCCCCCCCCCCCCCCCCCGCCCCATCCACCCAATGGCAGGGACTCAGGGGTGCTGACTGTAAAGCAATGAGAACATTCCAGAAAAAGTGTCCACTACCGGCTCCCCAGACACACTTTTGAGGTAGCTCTGCTGAGCCCAAGCGACCCCGGGATGAAATCTGGGGTGTGAGGCAGTGGCTAAGTCCATTCTGTTTCAAAGTCTCAGGGTGCACCACACGTCCAACACCCCAGGGAAAGGTTGATTGCCTGCTGTCAGAGGGAGCCCAAGTCAGCAAGGTCTCATTGATCTGAGTGTCGTGTATCAAAAGTCCCAGCAGAAACCATGGGCTTAGCCCGTCTCCACCCTCACAACCCCCACCCCACGCCCCACCCCACCCCCGCCAGCTTCCAGTGAGGGGCTCCTTCAGCAGCATGGGGAGGGAAGCCTCAGCTCCAGGTCTGCCAAGGCCATTCTCTAGGTGAGGTGGCCTGCTGCCTCCCGTCCAGACTACAATGGCAGGCCGCAGGCAGACGGACACATACACAATGACAAGAAGGGCAGGACAGGAGCCCCTGGGTGGTCTAGAGAGCTAAGCACTCGACTAGTAGCCAGAAGGTTGACGGTTCAAATCCCCGAAAAGGTGCTTTGGAAAACGGGCCTGGTGATTTGCTGCCCCAAGATCACAGCCATGGAGACCTGCCCCTCTGGGCCATCATGAGTTGAACCAGCTCTGCGGCAGCTAACACCCGCACCAGCTCCTCAGAGTGCTGGGTGGGAGAGAACGAGGATTCTTGGCCTGAGGTGTGGGCTGGCCACTTTTCCTCAACATCACACAAGCCCGATAGGGCCACTTCACAGCTGTGGCAGAGAGGAGGATGGAGGATGGCTTGACCAAGGTCCCAAAGCCAAGGACCTCCCAGAGAAAACCATGCAGAGTGCCAAGGACACCGCCCCCCTCCAGCCTGCCTATGACCCCCGCCCCGTACCCAGCAGCGGGGGTGGGTGGGTGGTGCTCTCTTTACCCAGCCCTGGGGTGGGCCCAGCATGACCTCACCCCTGCATTCTAACACCACAGCTGGGTGGCACAGATCAGATCCACAGTGCTGCACAACCCTCACCGCCGTTGGCTCAGCAGACCTCAACCAGAGAAACTCAGGACCCGTAAGTAGGAATGTCCATCTCTCCTCCCCATCCCATCCCCGGGAACCTCTGTCTCTCGGTTTGTCTCGGCTACATGTTTCGTGGAAGTGGGGTCGTGGGGTCGTACAACACGTGTCTTTTTTGTGTCTGGCTAGCTTCACTCAGCGTGTAGTCAAGGTGCATCTACGTCAGCGGTTCTCAGCCTTCCTAATGCCGCCACCCTTTAACACAGTTCCTCTTGTGATGGTGACCCCCAACCATGAAATTATTTTAGTTGCTACTTCATAACTGTAATTTTGCTACTGTTATGAGTCAGGTGACCCCCGTGAAAAGGTCGTTCAAACCCCAAAGGGGTCGAGACCCACAGGTTGAGAACCACTGCTCTGCATGGTAGCCTGATGGGCACTTCATTGTCCTTCTTGGCTGAATCATACTCTGTTGTGTGTAGGTAGCAGGCTTTGACTGAGCTACTAACCTCAAGGCCAGGGGTTCGAACCCACCAGCTGCTTTACGGGAGAAAGATGAGGCTGTCTACTCCACAGGGGCAGCTCTACTCTGTCCTGTGCTATGAGGTGGCCATGGCTGAGTGGCTGATCTGCGGTGGGCACCCGGGTGGCCACCACTGTGCGGTCACTGTGGGCAGCATTGCACTGAGCGCTGGTGCAGCAGAAGGGCCCCCCCTTATTTAAGTCTCACTCAGCTCTCAGCTCAAACCCTCCAACGGCTCCATCGTGGGCAGAGGAAACGGCAACTACATGGCCTGTCTCCTCTCTGACGTCATGTCCTATCATCCCCCACCCCCACCCCCAGGCTTCCTGGTTGTACCTTGGAGGTGACGAGGGCACCCTTGCCTCGGGGTCACTGCAGCCCCCCTTCCTTCTGCAGGGAAGACATGCCACACGTCTGCACGGCTCCGCATTCAGGGCCAGCAGGTCTTTGCTCAATTGCCCTCCCCCTCTCCCGCCATACCATGGCACAGCAGAGACGGGACATAGCCTGGGACAGCTGTGTGCACCACTAGGGCATCATGGGAGCCAGAATCCATGTACCCAGAGTCCCATGGCCGACCGTGAGTGAGGACTAGCAGATTGATACCCAGCCCCGGGCTCTCCAGTTTCTGGTTGCTTTTTCTCCCTAGCGTGTGGCACTACCGGGACAGTTACTTATTCACTGCCTGCTCTTCACTAGCGTCAACCGCGGAGGCAGCGCCCAGAGGGCTGGGTTCACGCAGGGTCTCCACTGGCTGACACGGTGCGGGGCGCTTCGGACATGCTCAGAGAGCGTGTGCACAGCCCCAAGCATGAAGGACTGACTCACACACGAATGGTCAAGTTAATGACAGCAGACAATGGTTGCGTGTGTGTAATCAGGACCGGATGCTGCCAGAGCCCAGGGGTGACCCCCACAATGCCTGAGGGGGAGGCTTCCTTGAGGGGTGGAGGTTGGCCAGCACCCCACGGACAGAGTTGGGCACACAGGCTGGTGGGTACAGAGTCCCTGGCAATGGGCCAGCAGGAAGCGAGGGAAGCACAGGACACAGAGAATTGTCTGGGTACTAACATTGGTTTGGAGCGCTGAGTGGGGGGTGAGGTGAGCGACTCTCAAAACGGGATCTGTGGGGGGGGGGGCAGGCCCTTTGGGTGGGAGAAAGCGGGTCTGGTGAGATCAGAATGCCCTTCAGAAAGATAGGAAGATGTCGTTAGACCTTCTCACGGTGCTGGCACTCAGCGCTAATGGTACAAAAGCAACTGTGGGCGAAGGTGCGGAGTTTGAGGAACCATCCGACCCACGCAGTTAATTAATAAACACTATCAACCTAATTAACTAAGGTGCTTTAATGAATGAATGCATGTAATTAAGACAAAGGCACCAGACAGTGCCAGTACTTTCACCACCATGCCCTCATTAGGAGGGAAAAGACATCCAGTTTCAAATAAGAGAGCTATTGCTGAAACAGCACAGGTGGCTATAAAATCTTGGCCCCAGAGGACATGTCTCTGGAAGGCTCTGCCTGAGGGAGAAGGAGCCCTGGAGTTGCAGTGGTTCGCGTTGGGCTGCTAACTGCAAGGTCAGCAGTACGAAACCACCAGCCGCTCCAAGAGAGAAAGAGGAGGCTTTCTCCTCCCATGAAGAGCTACACTGTCGGATCCCACAGAGGCAGCTCTACCCCATCCTGCAGGGTGGCTGGGAGTCGTGGCAGTGAGTTTGGACCGGACCGGCGCCGCCCCGGCCTCTGTCCCCCAGACCTCATTTTGACTTAAGAGAATGACAGGCCGACTAGCAGGCGGTTTCCTGAAATGAACCTAGTGTCTTGCTTCTGGAAAACAACTCACCGGACTTATGCCAATAACAAAATATGTGCTTTCACACAAAACAATATGCGCTTTCACAGGCTCTGTCGACCCCCCCACCCCCGCCATCTCTAGAGCGGAAGCTGCTTCCAGGAGATGGGTTCTTATGTCCTATGATGGAAGGCCGCCAGCACTCAAGGGCCCGCCTGCCTCCATGAACCGCTTCACCCTGCACAGTGGGTGAGGTTATGAGGCCAGGGGGTCGTACAGCGGCAAAGACCTACAATCATCAAACCAGGCTGCAAAAAGACGCCGTCCTGTTCTAAAGTACACATCCCCGGGCGGCTGCTTTCCTCCGTGAACTCCAACTACAAGAAGGCTGCACCGGACGGCGTGCTGAACTCGAGGTCACCAACCCGCTGTCCCCTCTCCAGCCGGAGACGGAAGGGACCCAGGCTGTCAAGTGGATTCCATCTCGCCTGAGCCCACAAAACTGAGTGTGACGGCCCCATCTTCACGAAGCACACGGCCTCCTCTGCTGCCCACGGAGCGCTGGCTGGGCTTGAAGGGCTCATCTTTTGGTTTGCAGCCCAATGCTTAAGCCACGGAGCTACCAGGGTGAGAGAGATGTTAACTATAAAAGAGTGCGCGTCTTTAAATTTGCCTTCTCATCTTGGAAAATTCAGTTGCTTTTTCAGAAAAGTGTGCTTTATTTTCTATCTATCTATCTATCTATCTATCTATCTATCTATCTATCTACCTACCTACCTATCTATCTAAACACGTCGGGATAGATACTTTTTTCAGTTTAACCTTCTGATCTGGTCAATATTCACAGATGTGGCCCACATAAATACCACTTCTGGGGGACTCTCAGCCACTTGAAAGAACACAAGGCCTGAGGCCGGCATGACAGACCCTTGGGCTGGAGGGTTAGAGGGCCACGGGGGGTGGGGGTGGGTTGAGAGGGGGCACCCTGAGTGGGTGGGGCACAAGAACAGGTGGAAGGAGCCTGGGTCGCAGGTTCGGGCACAGCAGGTAGAAGGGGCAACACCAAGGAGAGGCAGTGGAGAGAGCTAGATGACTGGCCAAGGTGGCAGGAAGAAGGGAGGGAGGGAAGGAGCTGGTTCCCCAGGCGGCTGCTGGGTCACCGAGGGGGGGGGGGGGATAGAGGAGAAGGGGTGGTGGGAGAGACAAGACGCATTTTGTGGCTCCCACAGCACAGGAGTCCAGTCAAAAGGGCAGGAAGCTGTCCCCAGCTGCCCTGTGGCCAGGCACGGCACTGAGCCCACCAGGCCCCAGGCGGTTACCTTCTTCCGTGGCCGAAGCTTATCCCGCCATTCCTTCAGGGTCTGGTTATGGCTCTCGTCCAGCGCCTTCAGCTTCTGGGTTTCATGCTCCACCAAGAGGTGACACTTTTCATTCTGGAACAGACGGCAAGCAGAACCTGAGGACACTGGGGCAGAGCACTGAGGGCTGAGACCCGGGGCGCTGTCCGCTGCATCACCGGGAAGGGAGGCGTGTAGGGCCAGGGATGCTGCTTCCCTTCGTGACAGGCCCCAGGTGTGTCACCGTTACTAATCCAGAATCTCCATGCTCACAGCAGGTAACAACACAACAAAGAAACGAGCACAATTACAGGTGACCGCCTCTCACCCCCAAGGCAACCACTCTGAACGCTCGGGGTCATTTCCTGCGCTGCTCTGTTGATGTCCTAGCCATTTGGCGTACACTGTGTGCATATAATTCTGAAGTCTGCCCCTCACACACGGGTCACCTTGGAATGGAAACGCTTCTTCAGAATTCACACCCTTCATCGTGGGTGATGTGTTGGGGGCTAACCTCAGGGCCAGCAGTTGGAAAACCGCCAGCCACTGCTCTGGGGGACAACGAGGGGGCTTGCTGCTCCTGTGAAGATCTACAACTTCGGGAGTCCCCCAGGGCCAGCTCTGCTGTGTCCTTTACGGTCGCTGTGAGCCGCGGTTGACTTCACAGTAGTGAGATGAGCTGAGTTTAGCGAATAGGCCATGGTATGAATCACCAAGTTTACAGAACAATTTCCCTAGTTCTGGCCAGTGAGGTTGCTTTTCACTTGCACTATTATACATACCACGACCAACCACCTGGGTATATCAACACGAGCTTCTACCGCACGCCACTTCCTAAGGAGACAATTCTGCCGAGGCCCTGGGCGTGGCAGAGGCTCCCCAGCCTCACTGCCGCCCTCCCCTGCTTCTCAAGACGGACCAGCACTTCTCTCAGACAGAAGTGACTCGTCCAGGGAGCACATCTTGTGGTTTCGGAGGAACAGAGTGAACTTGCTTTTATTCAGACACCGTAGCCATAACTGGGTTGAAAGAGAAGGAACCCCTATTCTCCACCCCCATCCACGGGAGATTTTAATTTTAGGTTTCAAGATACATTGATCTAGATCCCAAATCAAAAGCCCTATTGTCAAGTCACAGCGGCCCTAGAGGGCAGAGCAGAACTGTCAGGCTTGACGGAAGCAGACAGCCTCACCCTTTGCTCCTGGAGCAGCTCGTGGGCTCAAAGTCCTGACCTTCTGGTTAGCTGCTCCATGCTCATCCTGCTGTTACTGGTGGCCTTGGGTGCCACGGCGTGGGTCCCGACCTACGGTGACCTTATGTTCAACAGAATGAAGCACCACCTGGTCCGGCACCACCCTCACCCTTGTGACTATCTTTGAACCCATTATCGCAGCCACTGAGTCAGTCCGTCTTGTTGAAAGCCTTCCTCTTTACTGCCCCTCCTCTCCTTCACCAAGCATGATGCCTTCTCCAGGGACTGGTCTCTCCTGACAACATGCCCAACGTATGTGAGACTAGGTCTCACCATCCTTGCCTCTAAGAGGCATTCTGGCTGTAATTCTTCCAAACCAGATTTACGTGTTCTTTTGGAAGTCCCTGTACTTTCAGTGTTCTGCTCCAGCAGCACAATTCAATTACATCCATTCTTCTTCGGGCTTCCTTACTCAATGTCCATGTTTACGAGATGATTAAAAATACCACGGCTTGGGTCAGGCGCACCTCAGTCCTTAAAGTAACATCTTTGCTTTTCAATACCTGAAAGAGGTCTTGTGCAGCAGATTTACCCAGTGCAATGCATCATTCGATCTCTTGACTGCTGCCTCCACAAGCCCTGATTGTGGACCCAAGCAAGACAAAATCCTTGACAACTTCAACCTTTCCTCCATCTATCGTGATGTTACCTAGTGGTCCAGTGGTGAGGACTTGGGTCTTCCTTACGCTGACTCACAATCCACACGAAGGCTGCAGTCCGTGGTCCTCACCAGCAAGCCCTCCTCACTTTCAGCAAGCAAGGTTGCTAATAGCCTTCCTCCAATCCTGATGCTGCTTGCTTCTTCAATATAATCCAGCTTCTCTGATGATTGGCTCAGTTCACATTGGAATGAGTATGGGGATAGTCTACAACCCTGACACACACCTTTCCCGATCTTAAATCAGGCAGTCCGTCCCCCACCACTCCCCTTCCGTGTTCTGTTCCCACATCTGCCTCTTGATCCACGGACAGGTTCCACAGTAGCACCAGGAAGTAGTCTGGAATCCAGGCTCTCCATAGTGTGTTAGGTCCACACGGTCGAATGCCATACTACTGGGGATCCTTGCTACGCTGCTTTGGTTAGAAGGAATGTGCACCGTGACATGAGACTCTGGGTATGCCAGAGCTGTGCTTGGCATTTCCTTTGGGTCCTCCCGGTTCATCCTCACAGTGAGGCAGGGATGGAAAACCACACTGTGGCAGACAGAAGAAGCACGCCCGGAGGACTTCAATGCCTGTGGTGAGGCCTCCATATCTTCCCGCCTTTCCAGGACTGGCCAGAAGAGCCGGACAGCCTGGGCTCCACAGCCCTATCCCTCAGATCCAACAATATCGCGATCCACCACCAGGGGGCTCCAGGCACCAGCTCTCCTGGGCCAGGCTCCTCCCATGTAGCGCAGCAACCTGTGACCTTAGAGGTACGGGTAGAGCTGCCCCAGTGGGTTTCCAGGACTTAGATCTTGCAGTCCGTGAAGTGAGCCACTCGACACTTCATCCACTGCACCACCTGGGCTCCAGTAGCCAGGGGAGTAAAAGGACTCAGGATCTCTACGGGAACGCAGTCATCAAAGGATGGGCAAGACCTGGGACCCTCTTTTCAGGCACAATGACGGCAAATTCAGGCCCTCAGACATGGCATTTTGAGCTCCCTGATCGCATTTAGAAATCCTCACCCAACCCTGCAAAATAGGAATGTTCCCCCGATGCCACGGCCGTGTTGTGGCTGGGGTGAAGGAATGTCGGAGGCCCCAGGGCCGGCCGGCCGGCCATACCTGCAGCTGCTGCAGCTCGTGTGAGTTGCTCTCGCACTGTGCCGTCATGTCCCTCGTCTGGTTCTCATGCTTCTGCTGCTGCAGCAGCCGCTCCGACTTCTGCCTCTTCTCCTCCTGCTGGGAGAACTACAACAGAGAAGGGGTAGGTTGGAGGTGGTGGGTGGGTGGCTGCCCCATAGCCCACCACTGAGGCTGGGCCCTGGTCTTCGAGTCTGCACCCTGAGCTGAGAGCCAGCCCCTGCCATCAACTCATGTCAAACAGCCCCCAGCTGGTGGCAGACACAGCACTGACAGCACACTGGGATGTGACACGTGCCAGACAGCCATGTGCATGTGCCATGCAGGGCTCACAGGAGCTTCCGACTCCATGCACCGAGTCAGCTGGGTGTCCCGTGATGGGGTCTCGGGAAGGAGAAGGGGCGTGCCCACTCTGGAAGCCGCTTAGATAAAAGCACGGCAGGTGAGAGGGAATGGGTGTATGAGGAGCAAGGAGCTTCTTCCTCCATCCGGCACATCCACCAGGAGGCCAGGGAGGCTTCCCACTGTGACCTGCACCCCACTGCCAAGGCCTGCTGCTACTGCTTTTTAATATAGTGATGATGCACA